TCATTCGAACCCGCCCAGCGGAGGCTCAAAAGTGCCGGCCCGGCGCCCTCTCGGCCCGCTCTTGGAGCGCTCTCGGGGCCGCCCCGGGGCCCTTTAGGACCCCTCCTGGGGCTATATTGGACCTTCTTGGGGCCGCACAGAGGCCTCGAGAGCCCGTCGGAGGCGAAAAAGCGAGAAGGAAATGCACGAATGATCAAATGCCTCAAGTCATCAAAAACCTGCAGCGGACACGCCAGCCTGGGGCGGCAACGCCCCTGAGGAACAACGACCTCTAGCACTAGCCGCACATGACGGCAGGCGGCCGACTTTTGTTGTGGAATCGGGGACGGATCTGGAAGCGCACGCCATGGAAATTAGCATTTTGAACTCCAGGAGGCGAGAGAACTACTTGAGACTCTCATGGGAACCCTTGCGTTCTGTACCCATTGAAATGATCGCGGGCAATCATGTGCTCGCGGCTGTGGCAAGTGGGGAGGTAGGCTGCGCTCGCCACGACGGCGCCGACGGAATTGTCCGGGTGCCCTGGACCAAAGATGACGACGAAGCCTACGATTTGGATTCGAACGAACACGGTCAGTATGTTCTGACAGAACAACGCGATTCACTATACGACGGCCAGATAATTAGCACGCGCGCAGATGTCTCAGCCGCAGCTAAGAGCTGCGGTCGTCAAGGAAGACGACCTCCTGGTGAAGGCAGGAATACAGGTCAATTCGGCCAATGTATACAAGGCCTTGCACACAGAGCTCAACATATGGTACGACCGCAAATTTTCCAAGATGCAGGATATCCAAACATGCTACTAACATCATGGCATGTACATCAGCGGGGGTTCGTTAGTATAGAAGGGCGAAACGCAGCGAAGCATCAAACTTCGCCAAGTCCTTCGCGGCCCCATGGATGTCGAAGTGTTCGACGTGACAACATTTGTTTCGGGGACAGCTCGTCGAGCAAGCCAAAGATTGCTCGCCAGCGCGGACGCGCGCATGAAATCATCGATTATAGAATTCATGGACGCTGACATGGTTTTCTTGAAGGGCCTGGCTACTCTTGAGCTGACAGTGGCCACTGGATGGGGAGGAACGCATGGTCTGCTTAAATCTTCCCCCTGGCGTAGCTTCGGCGCTGCGCGCGTTGCTCGGCCTTGCGTCTTGCGACGAATCAAACCCCTGTCTACAGGATGCCAGGCACCCGCACCAAAGACGCCCTTAGGACATTCTCATTGAAACTCCGGACCACGCGAGTCCCTGGGCTAGAACGCACGTCACGCGACGACGAATTCGAGACGAGCCCAAAGCTTGTAACAGCCGAGCACGTTGACGACGTAAACATGGCAGGAGTCGAGCACACGATGGACAAACATGTCCAATGTGTAGAGAGCACGTTCGGCGCATGCAAACTGAACAAGCACTGATGTGAACTGCGCCACACGCTACACTGAGACCGAGGACGGCCACGTCCAACCAGATGAGTACATAAAGCAACTTCGCCTTCTGCAGCACCCGGAACTTACGGGCGTTGTAGCGGAAGACAAGGCGACGAAAACAGTATCATGTATGTTCATCAGTTTACGCGGTGCGTTGGCGCATGCGTTAATCACGCAAGCGCGTTTGATGGGCACGCGTAGTCGATTTGCGCGCGCAGGAAACCACGCACCTTCAAGTGCGCAGAACCAACGCTGCAACACTCACAAATCCCAGCAATATCCATAGAAAGTAACACATCAACTTATGACTCCGGCAGGAGAAGTGGACCTGCACAGCGGCTCTGGCGACCGCCGCCTCCTCGGCGACGACGACGAAGAGAGGGCGCGCGGCATCCAACGGGGCCAGCCCCCCACTGCGCGGACACGCGCATAGTGGCGAGGCAGTTGTGCATCTAATCGAGGCAGATTGCAAGTCACACCGCTCGCAGGCACGTTCCAGTTACTCAGCTGAGACATTGGCGGCAGATCATAATCTTGAAGACTGCCGCCCTGCCATTGCGACGCAGCGCGAGCTGGAGGCTGGGCCGCTAACACCAATGCAATTTAAGCACGCGCCAGAGCTTGGTGGTCTCAGCATCAAGGCCACCCTTGCCAGATGCGCTCAGTCGGTAGTCAAATCCGCGCGAAGTAAGGACATGAGGAAGCCAACTGAATGCACCCTGCTGGGACGCATCAGCTAGATCAGACAGATGATGGGCCGAGGCATGATTCGCAGCGCGCAGCGGTAAGGACTTTCGCCAACTGAATGCGCCTGGTCTGACACATCAGTTGGATAAGACAGATGATGGACTGAGGCGTCGCTCACAGCTCACAGTGGCGCGATGCGCGCGACAAAGCAGCCGACGGCCATGCCGGAGGCTGCATTGATCGTGAACTACGACTGCCAGTAGACAACCAGGCCTTCAATTACGAAGCGAAGAAGCACGCGCCCTATCGCGGCAACAAAGCGACAGCATCAACTGGGGGGCGCCCAGCTCAGGGCCAGCGGACACAGTTGATGATTGGCTAATATACAGCCGATCGATTTTCGGAAACGGGCTTTGATTGGCCACGCACAGCCAATCTAAGCTCGGACACGGGCTGAGCATACCTATTTGCCCGGACACAGGCAACCCATTTTGGGTACTTGGTGATTTGGTCGGGCACCCCATTTGCTCCGCATGCTTGGGCGTCTGGCATTTAGCCAGGCGCCCCGTTAGTTCTCTTCGGATAGTCACGCGGTCTTGCCCGTGATTATTCCGAGTTGTCAGGTCGCGCGGTCTTGCCAACGACAGGCCCACATGCGTTGCGTTGCCCTTCTCGCTCCTCGACTGTGCGTTGTTAGGGCTGTCGAAAACGACCGCGCGACTTCCCTTCTTTAATTGATGTAATGCATCTGGGGCTGGATCTAGCGTTCGCCCCCTCCCCCCCCCGATTTTGGACGGATTTGAAGGTGGGAATGCATGGCGAACGCTATTTCCTACCGACGCGACCTCGGCCCAAAGCAGCGCCGCCCCCTTCGCTTGTCTCGCGCTTGCGAGACACTATCGAGTTTGAGCGTCGGATCAAGGCCACACCCACCCATGGTTCACACCTCCATCCCATGTATTGTTTATTCTCCTTTCTAGAAAGATAATAGACTACACCCCCCGGCGTTATCGGCCCCCTTTTGGGGCTTGTAGATCATATAAGATTATGACCACATGTCCTTCCGAAATCTGAATTTACACGATCCCCGTGGGGCCGGGATCGGTCTCCTTGAGGTTCCTTTGTGAAAAACCATACGCGGGGACATTTGTTTCTAACATAACACTTGTTCACGAATCCCTTTTTCAAGAAACAGGGACGCAGTGCACACGCGCGCGCCTTCGCGCGCGCACGCCAAAATCTTTCAAAACCCATCGGTATCGGAAGGATTTCGCAATCGAGTTTCCAACCCAACAAACATACAAAAACACGGTTTCGCAATACTGATTCGCTGAAAAAGCTTACGCGCGAGCTCTTGCGAAATCTTAAGAAAGCCAGGGGTTTGTTTTTCAATTTTTGTACAAAATACTACCAAACGGGCGTCGCGCGCGCATGTCGGAATGTGTCGAACGCCCTTGCGCGTGTGCCGTCGCGAGAATCCTTTCGCAAAAACTCAGACGCAGTGCATTGCAGACGCGCGCGTCATCGCGCGCGTATGCCGAAATCCTTCAAAACCCATCGGTTTCGGAAGGATTTCAAAATGTGTCCAAAAACCTACAAAAACACAAGGTTTCGCAACACGGATTTTCAACAAAAGCGTGCGCGCGCGTTTTTGCGTCGTCGTCGTCGTCGTCGCCGTCCTCCCTCCTGCGTCGTCGTCGTCGTCGTCGTCGCCTACGTCGTCCTCCGTCTTTCCTCGTGTTCGTCGTCGGCGTCTCTTTGGCGTCGTGGTCGTTTCCGTCGTCGTTGTCGCCGTGGTCGCCTTCCTCCTCCTCCCTCGTCGTCGTCGTCGTCCGTCGTCGGCGTCTCGTCGTCGTCCCTCCTATTTCGTCGCCGTCGTCGTCGTCGTCGTTGTCGTCGTCGTCGTCTTCCCTCCTCCCTCGTCGTTGCCGTCGTCGGCGTCGCCGTCCTTCCTCCTTCGTCGTTCGCGTCGTCGCCGTCCTCCGTCCTCCCTCGTCGTTGTCGTCGTTGTCGTCGTTGTCGCCGTCGTCGTCATCCCACCTCCCTCGTCGTCGTCTTCGTTGACGACGTCGTCGTCGTCTTCGTCGTCGTCGTCGGCGTCGTCGTCTTCGTCGTCGTCGACGTCGGCGTCGTCGTCGCCGCCGCCGTCGTCGTCGTCGTCGTCGGCGTCGTTGACGTCGTCGTCGTCGTCGGTGTCATCGTTGTCGTCGTCGTCGTCGGCGTCGTCATCTTCGTCGTCGTCGTTGTCATCGTCGTCGTCGGCGTCGTCGTCGTCGGTGTCGTCGTCGTCATCGTCGTCGTCGGCGTCGTCGAAGTCGTTGGAGACGTCGTCCGTGTCGTCGTAGTCGTTGTCGGCGGCGTCGTCGTCGTTGTCGCTGTCGTCGTCGGCGTCGCTGTCGTTGCCAAGTGCCATTTGGTACCCACCGTCACGGTCTTGAGAGATTTTGCAAACCAAGTTGCGGGTGGGTGGGTGGCATGTTTGCGCGAGCAGTGGAGTGGACAATTCACTGCGAACAGACATTACTTGTCCCCCATAGTGTTTGCCATCAGTGGAGAACCTATGGGATACTTCGATACGTCTACGACGATATCCTAAGAGCAGGGGCCTCGGTTTATATCCCCATGGACAAGCCTCTGACCCTTGCTTTTCACGCTGGCGGACTCTCGGGGCCCTCTTGGCCCATCCTGGGGCCGTCCTGGGCCCAAAAACGTCACGCGCGGGGACGCGTTGGAGCCCAGAGGGCACGCGGGACGCCCCAGGAGAGTTCGGCAATTGGTGTCGGGGCCCTTGAAACAGTTCTTCCGGACAGGATGGACGCTCAGAGGACGAGGCGACAGATCTGAGGGCACGCCCACTCCGTGCCCAGAGGCACGGTGGCAGATCAAGGCCCGTCACTTGCCAGCGGTGCCATGGTTCCGGGAATGCGCGATCGCCCTGCGGGAGAGGGAGTCTCTGAACGACGATCAGGTGAACGAGTGGTTATTCCGAATATTCAACTCCCGCATGGGCACCGAGATGCTGACCTGGCACTACGAAGCGTTGGCCACTGACACAGACGATAGTCACGTGGGAATCGTGCACGCGCGGTGCGACCCACACGAGGTTTGCGCTGAGGCGATAGCCAGTGTTCAGAGCCAGTTTTCCGACTCGGGGCTAAATACCGTCAGCATCTCGCTCGGGCCGAAGGACCACCAGGATTCCATGGCATTCTCGTTCATTCCCAGGTACCTTTTTTTCATCGTCGAAGAGCTACTCAAGAACAGCGTTTGTGCAAGTCTGGCCCGAGCCAGGCAAACTGGTCGTGAAGTAGGCGGCATAAACGTCCTCATCCGTGCGGATGCTAAGCGCGTGGCCATCAAGGTCAGCGATTGCGCGGGCGGCGTCCCTTTCGAGCACGGCGACAAGATCTGGGAGTATATGTTCTCGACGACGCCGCAAGATTTGAAGCCACAATCTTGCGAGGTCACTCCTCTGGCTGGGCCTGGTATGGGTTTGCCGTTGTGTAGGCTATACACCAGCTACCTCGGAGGCTCACTGCACCTGATGTCGATGCCCGGGGTGGGTACCGACACGTTCATTTACTTCAACCGCTTGGACGTATCCGACGATTGGACCAGCCTTGCCGAGCCTTGACGTATCTGAATGCCTCGATCGCAAATCACCCATTCGTTTATCGTGATGAATGCGGCCCTCTCGATGAGACCCCCGTTGGCAGTGCTGTCTGGAACGTTTGTGGACCATAGTCTTGTAATTTTCCAGCGTCCCCAGCCAACGCCGCATGCTGAGCGGATCAGAATCATGTATGGTTCACGTTTCGCACCTTTATTTGCCCATAGCAGCGTTCGCAGTGTCACTGTGACGTCGTGTGAAGTGATTGTCGCAGACCATGTTCGTAAACACAGAATGTTGGCAATACTCCGGAGGGGGCGCGAAGATGATTGCGTTTCGCGCACCGCGGTTTGGGTTTGACAGGTGCTTGTCTCCAGGTCGTTGGCGCGAGGGCGCACAGATATTCGCGCATCGCGGGGCGCGATGCGGCATGAATCGGTCAGATCGTTCCGATTGAATACCCGGGGGTGCTCGATTGTCATACTCGTCTCCGAGGGGTTGGACGCATGCCCAGGCGAGGACGGAGGAGGTGAGTCTGGTTCTGCTGCAATTATTTGGCCCACGGTTCGCAGAAGGTTTTCGCTCCGAGTACCAGGTCACCGCATGGGGGCGAGAAGATGATTGTGCTTCGCTCGTCGCGCTCTTGTCCAGGGCGGCTGTCCTTCTCCACGGGAGGCGGCGCGATGGCGACAGGGCGCGAAGGTAGCCGCGCGACGCGCAACGTGGGGCGCGATGCGTGAAGTTCGGCGGCGTAGATCCTTGATCCGAGCTTTGTCGAATTCTGAATCGAATCTGAATCCGTAGCCATTTTGGCTCAAGCCATTTTGGCTCAAGTCCCTTTGACATCAAGTCCCATTGACATCCTCTCGCAGCCTCTCACATATCTAGCTTCCGGTCTACACCAATCATGGCTCATGCATCCTCGTCTGTCCAGCACGCGCTTGCGAGTTTTCTTGTATCTGCTCCGGCCGAGCCTGAGACGAAGAAGCCGCGCGAGCAGGAGGGTGCCCTCAGCTCAGAGCACAAGAAACTCATCGATGTCCTGACCCACGTGATCGATGACCGTATGGGGAAGCAGGCGGAAAAGATCGATCGTGCGCTCGGCGTCATGGCGCAAGCCACATATCAGCAGTTTTCGGACCTGCGTAAGGAGCTCGATACCGAGAGGAAGGCCAGGAAGGCGTTAGAGGAGGAGATGAGGAAGGAGTTCTTTGAGATCAAGAAGCAGGCCTCCCAGCGTGCCAGCTCCATGCCGCCTTTTTCAAGCACTTCTTCATTTTCCCCAGGGCATGTAAGGATTAAGGGTTGGTGCCAGTATTCAGAACGACTCGATGAAGGAGTAACCAGGGCGGAGGCGGATGAGTTTCGCAATAAACTGCTCCAGAAAATCCCCAAGGAGATCCAGCACCACGTCGGGCCCATCCAGCTTCGCGGAGGCAGGAACTATTCCATCCGCATCAAGATCCATCAAGATGTACTTCAGGAAGTCCACAGCCTGTGGAAAGACAGTCTTGCAGCCGGCGAGGGCGACCTCCCAGGCAAGCAGCGGCCTTACGTCACCATGGAGAGGGCTCCGGAGGTCCAGGTTAAGTACGCGCTCCATGGGAAAATGAAGCAATTTATCCATGGGAAGCTTGAGGGTGATCGTCGTTCAATTCGTTGCTATTGGTCCCCAGATTTTGCCATCTACGACGAGGGTGGGGGTGAGGGGGGCGACATTTACATCGGCAGCGTCACAGACTCGCAAACTATTTCATAGGGGATCTTCTGGTCAGGAGCTTCTCGGGGGCACACCGGATGAGCTGACCAAGAAGGTCAAAGCAGTGCGTCGTCAATAGGGGGGCCCGGCAACACCGACACTCCGACATCTGCATGTATATTGTCTTGGAATACGCAGAAAAAGGGAAAGCGACGGATCGGGGAGATCACCAGTGATCTGAATTCCACGGGGCTTTCCTCATCTTTTGTGCTACTCCAGGAGATTCCCACTTGGGAGCCAGGGGTGTGTTCACACAATTTCGTTGTACATAAATGGCACGGTGCTGGCTTGGACGCGGGCTCTGGTGATTGCGGGGTCCTTGTCCCAAGAGCGTTCAGTCACATGGTCCGCCTGGGACGGGGTGGCAAGTATTGGATGGGCGTCCTCGTTGGCACCCTCGTTTTGTTATCTTGCCATTTCGTTGACCATGATGCTATAGCTGGCCTGGCGGCAGAGGTGATAGAGGGGACAGTCGAATTCGTACAGCGTACAGGAGTGTCGTCAACGAGTTTCACCCGATACTGTTAGCATCGTTGCTGGCTTCGACGGCAACGTTACCTTACCAGGCAAACTCTCCGACCTTACCGGCCCTCTTGTCCTACCTCTTCTTCGATCTCATTCTTCCAGGATGCAGAACACAATATGCTCGTGGATGGCGGCATTGGGAATCCGTGCCATGAACACCTTCGGCGAAGCACCTAGCACCAACTTCCGCGAACGACTTTGGACGTGCGGGGTGAAGAGAGTACTCGACGCCCGTTTTCAGATCGACTTCATTGGGGTATCGCAGGATATCAGCGGCCATGCCGCACCATGGCAAGACCCTCCGGTCTCATTCCGGACCAACGTGGACCACAGGCCGTTGATCGCAGACATTTCTTGGCACGGCTCGGGAACAAGACCCAAGGATCTCAAATCATCCCTTAAAGGTTGGGCCCCGGCCAATCAGGCGCAGCACGACGTCTTCCTCAACGAGTGCATTGACCAGGAGGTGTTGGCCTCGTCCTTGCCCTCCCTGGAGCCTAATTTGTTGAGAGTTGTAGAATCTGTTCAGCGCATTACAAGCAGGTCCGGCATGCCAAGTTCGACAACTGACCTTTTGAACGGCGCTTCAAATTTGCGTCGAGACAGGGCCAAACGCACACAACTTCGTAATAATCGTAAGCTGCAGGGCCTTTGCCGTGGGCCCCCACGCGTCACGTTTACACCCACTTACATGGACATTGGTGGGGCCTTGACTTTTGACCAGGAACAGTGGTTAGATGGAGCCTACGATTTTGGAAGGAGTCGTTTCCAGGATGATTCGAATGACGTGACCTTTGAACAGCATCGTTTACAACGTGCGCATGCTCAGCACGTTGATCGCAGGCTCGATGGACTGGAACGCCCCGTGGACATCGAGTATTTCGACGTCCTCCACTCTAGAGCTGCTCTTCGGCCGGGAGCCGCAACAGGCCCTGATGGCGTTCCGGCGGACGTGTACAAGATGATCCCAGATATCCTAGTATTGCACGTTTGGGAGTTGTTCCGGGGCAGGGCGAACTTCCGCGATACTGGACAATCCCCGTTCTGGAAAATACTGGAGTTCTTCGGCATCCCGAATGTCAAATCTGCAACCGAGCTTTCCAACGTGCGCTGGATAGGGAAGTCCCCAGAATTACAGATGTGGTACATACGATGTCTCCAGCCAACGCTCTCACAACAAATGCGGCCATCTTGCGCACACACATATGGCTTCAAGCGGCGCCGCAAGACGACCGACATAACCGGCATGCTTAGGCAGCTACTGCACCTCGGACACGAATGGGGTCTACCAGTACACATCGCAATACAGGATGTCAAAACAGCTTTTGATGAGATGAGCCACGAGCACTTGTCAACTGCTATGACTGGTAGGGGAACTAGTCATGCCATGGCCACCCTCCTCCTGAACGAATTGTCTGGGTTGCAGCTTCCAACTCCGCTTGCTGGGCCGCTTCGCCATCCCTTGGAAGAGCGCGTGCAAGGTGATGCCCATACATTCCAGAACATGCCATGTCCCGCCCTGCATCCCGACGACCACTACTGGCAAGATGGGCTCCGGCGCTTGCGCGCGCAGTTGACAGCCAGATGATTGCCGACCTCTTCACAGGCACCGCGAAGCTCCAGTCGGATGATCTCAGACCGTTATGCGTTCGAGTCCGGCGTCAATTGGCGGAGCTGGACGCGAAGGGAGTCTGGGCTAGTGCTGACACTTCATCACTTATACGATGGCGGGAACGGAAATACAACGTCCCAGCGGACCACTTGGCGAACATGGCTCTCGATGCCGAGCAGGGCGCCAATCGTGGAAGCGCACCTGCGCAACAACTTGGCCCCGACGCCCTTTTCCAGCTGCAGACAGACGGCGGTTGGCGCGCGGGCAAAGGCGCAGCGGGCTGGATATTGCATAGGGCTGTCCGGACCAGCCAAGGCAAGAGCGCAACCTTGGTTGAGGTAGCGCGCGGTGCAAAACTTGTGGGGCGCGCAGGGCCCTCTTTTCAAACAGAGGCGATCGCCCTGGAGACAGGTCTCTCCCAGTGTATACCCATGTTGTTTTCCTCTTTGAACTGACAGTAACGCCACCTTGCGTTAGACGCGCTGCACGCGTTGCCGGGGGGGATGAGGGGTCGCTATGGCGAAACCGTTCGTAAAGAAAGAACGAGGCTCGGATGGCACGGGAAGCGTAGGGGGTTCGAGTTGAGCACACAAAGCGGAGCCACGACCGCCCCCCCACACTTCCTGGGAATTTAGCCCGCAAGCGCGGCATTTTGGCACGTCGCGGGGCCTTCAAGGGGAAGAGATGGAGGATGAGGAGGCAGAGGCGGAGGCGGAAGAGGATGAGGATGTGTTTGCATAGATCCTTCCATGATATTGTGCATTGCCGCTTGGTTCAGGAGCTTCAGCCCGCCGTCTGGCGGTGCGAGTTGCTCTTGCAGTTGCTTTTCGCTGTTCAGGAGAAACTCAAAGTTTGCACCATCGTCTTGTTAAACTGGCACTGTAACGGAAGAGGCTATGGCAGCCATATTGGGTCAAACGGCGCCCATCACCAGGCAATGATGGATCGAATATGCTTAGTGCACTTTGGAGGCGGTTGTTTGATTGCGCACAACTACAGCGGCTATGAGTTTGCCCGATCAGAACTACGCGCCAATTACGATGCTACGACCAGTTGCCTGAGCGAACTAGACAGGCAATGGATTTGATCAGCTGGTTGTCACGCTCGAGCAGTTTAAAATAAGGATTGTAATGCTGCGCTACTGCCTTCGAGGGTGGGCCCTCGCGTCGGCGCGGAACCGCCGGGACAGACAAACAAATCACGAGTGTAAAAGCCACCGTGCTGAGGGCAAGGCCCACTGGCAAAAACCACCAAGCACATTAGGCAGAAGCGCAGGACCGCCAGCATCGCCGCTGGGCAGCGCTCTCTAGGCAAACGCGTCGCGCGGGGAGCGGAATCGACAGGGCGGAAAAGATCGCGCATGCAATAGTTTCCGTGCAAATAGTTGTTGTAGTTGCAGAAATACACATCAAACCCAACAAGGCGAACTCAGAAGGCAAGTGCGCACGATTGACTCGGGGCTGTGCCCTGCGCCACTGCAAGTACGCATTCAATGTTGGGAGCTGAAGGATGCACCCGAAGCATGGAACACATTCAACGCGACCATATTATTCAAGAGTGGCGACTCGCACTTCCTTAGTAACAACCGCCATATTATTCTTCTCGCAGCGGAATACAAGACACTCTGGTATCCACGGTGCACCGACGACGGCTCCAAGGAGAAAGCGCACGCGGCATTCTCCAGTTGGAATCCAGCCTAAACGTGGGACGTCCGACGAAATAATGATAGCCTGAAGCACGGCGGTAGCAGCTTATCTGAACAACGGGGATGGATCAATATTGTCATCGCCAAATCGGGCTAAGGCGATTCGTCGGTTGAGACAAGGTTGCCCCTGCAAAGCTCGTTCACGTTTTGGTCTCCGTCCTGCCATGGTGGACACGATCACGAATATATCTTCACAGAGGTATAACAAAGCGCGCTGGTGGCACACTTCTCATGAGCAGGGTGGCCCCAGCTGCAAGCCACTGCGCACTGCCGATTGGCTCAAGAGCTTAAGCCCACCATCTGGTGATGCGAGTTGCACGTGCAGTTGCATTTCGCTGTTCAAGAGAAAACCACATGTTGCACCATCGCCTTGTGAAACTGGCACTGAAACGGAAGAGGTTATGGCAGCCATATTGGGCCAAACGATGCCCATCGCCAGGCAATGATGGATCGAACGTACGCCGTGCACTTTGGAGGCGGCTGCCTGACCGCGCACAACTACAGCGGCTATGAGTTTGCCCGACTAGACCCACATGCCAATTACAACGTTATGACAAGTTGCCTGAGCGAGCGAGACAGGCAATGGACTCGATAAGCTGGTAGACACGCTCGAGCAGTTTAGGATATAGATTGCAATGCTGCGCCGCTGCCTTGAAGGCAGGCCCTCGCGTCGGCGCGGAACCGCCAGGACAGGAAACAATTCGCGACTGCAAGAGCAACCGCGCCGCGCTGCGGGCAAGGCGCACAGGCAAAACCATCAGGCGCATGTTAGGCAGAAGCGCAGGACCGCCAGCATCGCCGCTGGGCAGCGCTCTCTAGGCAAGCGCCTCGCGCGGGGGGCGGAATCGACAGCGCGGAAATGATCGCGCATGCAATAGCGACCGTGCAACACATCAAACCCAACAAGGCAAACGCATAAGGCAAGCGCGCGCGATTGACACCGGGCCGCGTCCTGCGCCGCTGCAAGCACGCATATAGCGTTGGGGGCTGAGAGATGCACCCGAAGCATGGAAACAATTAGGCGCCACCATTTTCTTCAAAAATGGCGACCCGCACCCTCCTTGCAACCACCGCCCGAACTCTCTTTCTCGCAGTGGAACGCAAGACACTCTGGCACCCGCGATGCACCGACGACGGCCCCCGACGAAATAGTGCTAGCCAGAAGGACGGCGGTAGCAGCTCATCAAAACAACAACGGGGATGGCTCGATATTGCCATTGCTAAATTGGGCCAACGCGTTTGATCGGTTGAGACGAGATTGCCTCGGCAAAGCTCGCCCACGCCCCCCCCCCCCCCCCGGGACGGCGGGCGCGATCGCGGGCGCATCTTCGCAGAGGTATAAAAAAGCGCGCTCGCGGCGCACTTCCCATTGACAGGGCGGCCCCAAAAAGAGCGGGGAGGTGCTTTCGAAGCCCCGCCCCTCCCCAGCGGGCATTTTCTAGCTGGGGGGGCCGGCTAAAGGGAGGGGGCCCAGAAGCTACCCCCCCCCCGCCTCTGCGGGGGGCCCGGCCAGCCCCGGCTGCCCATTCCAGGGTGGGCCCTTCCTAAGGAACCCCCATAATGCTTTGATTGCGATTCAAAATCTGGTGGGTCCACGACTAGAGACGCGGCGGGTTTGGAAGCCCCCCCCCTCCCCTTTGTTTTTCAGAGGGGGGCTCGAAGCCCCCCCCCCATCCTTCCGCCAGTGCCCAGCCGGAGGGCGCCGACCGAAGGGGGGGTTCGAAGCTATCTTAGCTTTTTGATTTTCGGCACCCGGTTGTTTCTCGGCGCAGTCGCGGTTGTCGGCGCGTCTCCGGCTTTCGTCGCCCCGTTGGTTTTCGGCGCCCCTGGACTTTTAACGCCCCCCCTGGATT